AAACAAGTCTAGTGGACACTTGTTCCATAATGAGTGGCATCTGGCGGTGCCAACGAAAACCGTGAGAGCTGAGAGCCAGACAAAGTTCATTTCAACAGGACCAAAGTCGGCTCGAGGCATTTTGAACTTAACGCCTTCGCGACAGAGCTCAAACTGACATACCTGCGTTGATAAAAGTGCGTGTGTTACAGGGTGCGGGTATTAACTGAACTGGAAAGTGAGATGAGCAGGTTTTTGGGTCTGTGTGAAAGAAGAGATGATGATTATGATGGAATCTGTTTAGTTTTAGTTCAAGATTTACAAATTTTTCAACCTTAGGTCATTAAATAGGACGAAAAAATTACCTAAGTGCTGCGTATTATGTACTTCATCGTTAGCAGCACAAGTCTTGATATACTGGTTCTGTCATACAGGCTTTAAATGCTACGAATGAGACATCAACTCTCACTAAACAGATATTATAAACAAAATCAACTCATAGTACTAATTAATTACGTTAACGTTACGTAACAGTGGCTTAAAGTGTCATGTATCGTCTGGGTTTGAAATACATGCGAAGTCTTTGTAGCGAAGATAACATTTAAGACTTCATATTAAATCATCTAGATTTGAATATTTTCTCCAGCACATTCAATTAGTTCGCGACGATCTGCGTAAATAACTTGTGCCGTACAAACTCAGGACCAAAGTTAGGGTATCAAATGGTTTTCGAAGCACATTTGTTTTGAATAAATGGAAATTGGGCGCCATTCCTCCTGATAAAACTGCGCTTTCGTGATACGGAACTCGAGCGCAAAGCCAATCGTATGCTAATTTTATGCCATCCAAGAAGTTTATGACGTTGCTACTAGAAAAGCCACTAAATTTAATTTATTCCATATATAAATTTATCAAGACAACGCGTCAAAGCGCTCCGACATTTCACCCCGAAATTAAACTTTCAAGTTCCATCATTGAGCAACTCATAGCTTTTTAATCATAAAATATCGATATAAGGTCGCTTTCAAAATTTTCTCATAGTATTGGCCTCTTCAATAGAAATTTAGATCTAAAGACTTATGAATATTAATAGGGCATATAATTAAAGTCAATCGTAAATATGATTAAAACACAATAGAATGTAATGTAAATTCAAATTTACAATAAAAAAATACTCCGCTACTCCGAGTGGTAAATACCTATTTAGTTCGTACTCGTAGCGGAGTAGCTTGGTTGGAATGGAGCGCAGATGTGTTGCCTCGGTACTGGCAGACACCCACTATAATTTAATCCCTGGGCATTGGGTCGTCTAGACGGACTTTAACTATCGTTTCCGCAACAACCATTTAATTCAGTGGAACAATATAAATTTAATTAAAAGAAAATGGTTAACTTACGTGCAGACAGCTTGTATACGCTGTTCTCTTATTGTACGTGATCGTTTTGCTACAAGTTTAACGCCGGGTTTCTGAAACACTGATCAACGTAAATCTCAACTAATCAGCTGTCAAATGAATTTCAAATGTTATTTGAGTTGCCAAAAGGATGTTTAAACTATTTGAATTGATCATTCTAATCTCTCTTCTCTCTCTCTTCTCTTTATATATATGAAGTAGGCATGTTTGTTTGGAAGCACAAGAAATTATTTAACACAGCGGATGATATACATATTCGGAACCGCCGGAACCCATACAGACTTGTACTGAGTGATAATCCTAAATTGTGAAAATATAGTAGAAGCTGTCTCTTTATGTGTGTGCAGATATACAACAAGATACCTAAGGAACTTAAAATATTAAATACTAGGCTATTTAAAATAAAATTTTATAATTGGTTAATCGAGAATAGTTTCTACAATGTTAATGATTTTATGTCCAAGAAATCTTAAATATTGCAAATTTTAAATTATTTTTATTTTTTTATATTTGCATGCTTCGTATTGTCGCGGCAAGACATGTTGTACTATACCTGTTTGTAACATCTCTATACCATGTTTTATGCAAATAAACGTTATTATTATTATTATACTGGGGGGATATTCATTTGTTTTCTCGTCTGGTTGGGTTTATAAATAAAAATAAAAATATAGATATATATTGCATATATAAACTAAATATTATGGATAAAAATAAACATATATATATAAATATTTTATATAATACATATGTAAATAGGACCCAACCAGACGGAAGCCCTCGGCAGGGGAGACCAAACGGCCGAGGGTTAGGGCGAAAGGGAGAGAAACCGGCGGACGATGTGGGCGGTATCGAGGAGCACCGCCTTCTGCATTTGAGATTGGAGCGATCCGTCCCGGAGTCCCTGTCGCCTCAGATGTTTAGAGAGGCTGACTGGGATTAACCCATTGGCAGAAACGACTATCGGGATAATTTCGGTCGGCACACCACCCTACATGTCGGTCACTTCGTGAGCCAGGTCCAGACACTTTGTCTTCTTATCTGTTTCGGCTTTCACGAGGTTTTCGTCATATGGAATGGTAATGTCGACCAAAAATACCCGCGACTGTGCCCGGTCCATCACCACGATGTCAGGTTTGTTCGCGACAATCGTCCTGTCCGTGATGATGGGCCGGTCCCAATAGTGCCTGGCGCGGTCATTTTCGAGCACGGCCTCCGGAGAGTACTTATAGTACGGCAGTTTCCGATCCACGAGGCCGTATTTCAGAACGAGCTCCTGGTGTAGGATTCTGGCTACTAGGTTGTGTCTATGCAGATAACCAGAGTTAGAAAGCATGGAACAACCGGAGATAACATGCCGAAGCGACTCCCCGGGATGGCGACAAGCTCGACAGATGTCGACGGTGCCATCCCTTAGGATGTATTTCCGATAGTTGTTCGTCTTAATAACCTGATCCTGTATCGCACAGACAAAACCTTCGGTTTCCCCAAAGAGGTCACCGAAACGTAGCCAGTTGAGGGAGGCAGTAGTATCTACGAAAGGCTCGTGTAGGGCCTTGTAGAACCTCCCGTGGAGCTCTTTCTCCTTCCATACGGCCTCCCGGTCGGAAACGCTCAGTACTCCCGGGTCCTGCCATTACTCGTTGGCTAAGGATAGAGGGGTAAGTCCTTTATCACAACTAATGACGTCCATGTAGATTGACTCATCCGATCTCGCCAGAAAGTAGTTACGGAGGCTGCACACCTCGCGATTGTGCATGGTGAGGGCGCTTCAAAAGCCCCTCCCGCCATGCTTCCGCGGAAGGTACAGCCTCATCACTGACGATCTCGGATGATGCATTCTGTGGGAGTCATAGTTGTGCGGACTTTGCGGTCCAGGGCGTTGAGCTCAGTTTGAGTCCACCTGATTATGCCAAAGGTATACATGAGGACTGGCATGACCCAGCCGTTAAATGCGCGTGCCTTGTTCACGCCTGACAAATGGCTGTTAAACATCTTTGTCAGGCGTGCAAAAAACACGTCACGAACTGACTGTTTCATGCCAGCCTCATCGATACACATATTTTGTGACATACCCAGGTATCGGTATGTTTCAGCCTCAGAGAGGGTCCTTATGTTGACGGGCATAGATCTATGCCCTCCGTGTTAGCGACCCTACCCCTTTCGACATGGAGGACCGCACACTTATCCGTCCCAAGCTCCATTTTGATAGAACTGCTGAAATCACAAGTGACTTTAAGCAATTCCATGAAATGGGAGCGATTGGAGGCGAATAATTTGAGGTCATCCATGTAGAAAAGGTGGGTCACTTTTGTCCCTCCTCTCCGAAGCTAAAATCCTCCCCCCGAGCCCTCCAGTAATACGCTGAGAGGATTCAGGGAGAGGCAAAACCATATTGGACTCAAACAGTCGCCCTGGAAAATACCCCGTCGTATCCTTATCCGGTATTCCGCAGCCGTCATCCGCTCGCCTAGATGACAAAGGATCGTACTCCATTGCCCCATACAGTGCTCGAGGAAGTCTCTTCCTGTACAGTCTACTTTGTACAGTTCGAGGACCCTCTTTAGCCATGTATGGGGCACCGAGTCGAATGCCTTTTTGTAGTCTATCCAGGCGGCGGAGAGGTTCCGACGGTTGCGTTTAACCATTTTACCAATGACCGCGTCGATGAGAAGCGGTTCCTTGGTTCCACGACCGCCGCCCCGACATCCATTCTGAGTACGAGACAGACGAAACGCGAAAGTTTTATACTTCCACTTTACGTCGGTCTTCTGTGAGGTTATGGTACTTTACCCGGACGAGCCTGCCCACTCGTGCAACAGCCGAGGCTGCTGCGTGGCTCTACCACCGTGATGACACATTACCTTGCAATTTAATATTGTAGTCTGACGCCCCGCGCCCCTTACACTTTTCAGTGCAATGCAGTTAAAGATGTTAATAATATATGTGACGCATGTTCATACTGCGTGGCTTTTAAAAATTGTTCCGCTTTACATTACATGACATATATAATTGAATATGACAGATGATATAGATACAACGTATGATACGGAAAGAGATAGCAGTTTATAGAATTGCAGTCTATAGAATTACACCAATTGGTGTCAGTTGAGTGCCTCAGCTTTAGTGCGCTAGTGTCATATCTACCTGGTATTTGTATACAATATAGTCGCGGCGCAGTACAGTTCATCTCAAGTAGCTAGCGAACGCTTACTGTCGTACATTCTCTAATAAATATTGTAAGGAAAATTTGAATAAAAACACTTAAAATAATGTTACGAACAAGAAATACATCAGTTACAGTTAGCACTTTCCGCACTACTCGAGTGCTAACGAACAATTGGTTTACCTGATAGAGTTCCATCTTTATATACATGGCGGTAGCTCGTCTATCGGAACCATAGACCATAACCATGAACCGTAGGCCATAACTGTAACCATTTGACCATCTCTTAAGATATTATATATTACAGTAGCGTAGTTTTGTCTCATCTGCTCGTATAGGGGATCCGATAAATCTCTAACCGTATAAGTTAAACGGATTAGAAAGCTAACATTTCTCGTATCCCTTCATCAGACTTGATGTTGTGCTACTTCCGTTCGCAGAAGGCGGCGCTCGCGCTCCAGGTCTTCGTCGCGGAACCACGTGGCGGACGATGAGTGCCCATCTCCGAGAACAATCCTCATGTCCGACCAGGAGGCGCTGCATCAGCTCTACGGCGAGATCACGACGGTGAGGGACGGCGCCGTCACGCACCAGTGCGTCCAGACCAACCTGGCGGACGTGATATGCGGCGGTGAGTGGAATTTAACTAACCGCATTGATAATTCAAGAATCGCCGTCTGGTGAATAATAAAAAAAAATATTTCAAGACACATTTTTACACAACGTTTTCTAGTCCCAAAGCAAGCAGTGCATCTGCTATGGCGCTGGATAAGTAATAAAAATAGTTGAAGACACTTTTCTTTTGTAAATATTTAACTACAAAAGTTATAAATATATGAACATCAACTGTGGTAGACCCACGCAACAGCTTCGGTTGTTGCGTGAATGGGCAGGATAGTCCGGGTGAGGTTAGTAGTAGAGGGTGAGTGAGACTTAAGTAGGACCTGTGAGTGAGGACGGTGAGTTAGGTAGCCGCGGCCCACTTTAATAAAAGATGGCAGCGGATCTCAAACCTAACATGTCTGCAGTGACGCCGTGGTGCTTCGCCGGACAAGACTTCTCATTCGTTTAACAGCAAAGACTGCTGCGTGACGCTACTACAATAGAACTGTACTGGACTGACAAGAGTTTAAATTATTGCGAGTAGTTCGATATCTAACTTTTAATTGCCTCATATTTGAAAGTTGCTTCATTCTAAAATATCATAAGGTAAATACTAGATACGGTAATAAATAAAAACTGTCACTAATGTGTTCAGAAAGTGTTTCGCTATTTTCAAACGCAAAGCATAAGTTCCATCGTACATTCCAAACGGTGCTTTCCAAGTTGCGAAAATTCCCGAATTAATTTCTCATTGCCATTTATTTCGTTGATCTATTCGTTTATACATCCAAGTTATACGAAACGACCCTGTTGTGCCGGGTACACAATGGGTTTACTATGCTTCAGGGGACATTTCATTGAGTGATGCCTGTTGGTGTGCTGATAAAGGCTAAATTCCCGCGCCTGCAGTGCCCCGATTCAGCGCCGCAATATTATATGCATTGAATGTTACTGCGATATTTCTTGTGGACTTTTTATACCGAAGTCCTCATTTTACATTAGCTCCGAGCTCTGGCAATTTCGTCTTGTAGTACGTCGGAACGTTTGTTCTATGAAATTGTGGAAAATTATCTCTACTTTGCGTTTGTATTTCGGAAATGAGAACAAGGTATAAGCAGGAATTGAGTTTTTCTTCGTGTATTGTCTGTCATGTGTCGTAATGAACAGTGTTAATATTTAAAAATAATTTTTAAGTAACGAAAGAAAGTTATTGGCCATCACAGTGTAGAACAACCCCCACCAGATGGAGAGACCTGCGCATAAATGCATGCATTTGGCCGAGGATCGTGCTCCGTGGCAGTTTGTGCCTGATATTATAAAAAAATTATGATTATCTGATTCTTATTCGCCCGAACACTGAACTTGTTAATATCTACAACAAATATTGAATTTAAGCCACACTGCGAATTTAATCTCGGTATCATTTTAGTTCCTCTAACTTACTGCCCAAAAAATGTGAACAAATATTTTTTTAAGAACTTTATTTAATAAATCACTCAACCTTGGCATTTAAGCGTAACATCAATATCCAAGGTTTCACTTTAAAATAATTAATGACGGCATTAAACTTAAATACCATTAAATAATTTTTATATAATAGCAAAAAGTGTTATTTACGTTACCTATTGTCGGTCAAAAGTCGGATGTAATCATTCCACTCTATCAAAGATTCGGTATTGGGCGTAATTCTTAAGTTGACAGTCGCAGTGACCCCCGAGAGGTCACGGCGGTCACACGCTCGTGACTTAGCCGATTTGTTTTAGATGGTAACGGCGTTCGCATAAAGAAACATAAAGCTTTCGGGCAACGGACACGACTGCAACAATAAAAGATCGATTGTTTACTTCAATGTAGACGTTTGACCGATTAGTTTCATTCTGTCGACCGACTTAGATACCGATATCGATACGGCTACAACGGTTCTTGTACGGCTATCGATTAAACGATGCATCCCTATTGAGGGCCTCGACGTTATGACTGCCCATATCGATATAACGGTTTTAAACTTTCGGTTTACGGTACAATGGTACATCCCTATGCAGATTTTATTTATGCTTTCGAAGTTGAGAGCGTCTCTACTAAAAATATTCATCTCAATTATTCTATCTATAAAATATCTTTGATTTAGATGTTACAGGATAAGCTTAGACTTGGCATGGGTTTTCGGACTTGGCTTCGGCATGGGTTCGACTTTCTCATGGGAAAAGTATTGACAGGCAATTGTTTTGAATCAAGTTGTGGTCTAAGAAATATTTTATACGTGCAATGCCCTTTATAACATAGCTTTGTGCTGCAATATAAACTACAGAACTATTTTTTTTAAATCTATATGAAATAGAAATTACAATCTAAAGTTTTTTGAACCGTATTAACGATATCTTGGCAGCATTGTTTTGAATCAACTTGTAGTCTAAGTAATAATTTATACCGTGCAATGCTTTTGTAAGACAGCTTTGCGTAGCAATATAAACTTCAGAACCAAACATTTTGGAAAAGATGAAATGGAATTTACAATCCAAAGTTCCTTGAACCGTATTAACGATATCTTTGCAGCTTTTTAATGCGACAGCATTGAGTTCCCGGCAAGATACTGCATTGCAGATTCGCGGACAAGCCTTTTGACGCACGTTTTTTTTTTTTTTTTTTTTTTTACTTGTAATTGTTATAATTACGAAATCAAAACACAAAATATTTTGTCTTTCTATCAAAACATATATGTCATATTAACGATATCGTTAATATGTTTAAATTTGAGTATGTACATAAGTTACTTTTAAGAGTCGGGCGCCATACAATTTTAAGAAGTGAATAGACGAAAATGAAATGTGACGTTAAGTAACCAATCACACTAAACTAGTTCACTCGTTAATATGTGTAGAAAAAATGGACTTAAGTTTTTCGCCGCTGCGTGAATCGTACCCACGTATTCCGGATTCGTGCCCAGACGCTTTAACCACAAAGCTAAACGGCTGATTGCCAAACCGACGAAAATCTCAACGTAACTTATCTACCTCGATCCCCCTGAGCGACGAAATGTTGAATGTTATAAATATGGTTAAATTTGCTCTCAACACGAGAGTTTAATTAATATGTTACTAACCATATTATATTATTGTTACTTTTGCCTATATTGTCGATTTTATCTTACAGAGTGGCATATTCGCATGTGCGAATAAACTCTTAAAATAAAGAAAAAAAAAAAACTTATCTACATGGTTTTTTCGCATTTAAATCAATGCTTGGCGCATCTATTACTTTACAGCGACAAACAATTTCAAATACCGCTATGCAATGATAATTCGAACGAGAGATGTCGCCATTGCTATTTAGTTGATCCGTGCGAAATTTTTACACTTTGTAAATAGTCACCGACCACAAAAATAAGTTAATTGTCAATCTACTTCGCTATCTTACGTTTAAACAAAATTGTTTATCAAAGGTTCCTTATTCATTATAAAAAATTCCTTCCTTGTAAATAGTTTATAAAGGAACACGTTTTTAAGAGAGTGAAAACTTTAATCTACTACTTTATTAAAATGGTGTTACGGCGTTTCGACAGAAAGTATCTCTGAGAAATAATATATAGAAATAGACATAGCGTACAAGCTGACTAGAAAGAAGAGGCTAAAGCTATACCGAATGATCTTTATCACACTAATCAGTTTCTCAAGTTTATTTACTTACTCTCTAACATAGTAGCTACTTTACTGCAAGGCCACACGCGCTATGCCATCTAAGGTATCCGACTCAACGAAATCTGAACTCTAATTTAAAGGAATAGCTTTGAATATCGCACAAAACAAAGACGGCGCATTAAGCCAGTAGGTAAGTAAAGAGATCAGTGGAAAGCCGGTCTCCAAAGGCACAGGAAACCACCGCGATCAATCTTGTCCAGCACGTTGTGTCGATTATTTATTTGACAAGCAATTATCGGCCCTAATCACCAGTAATAGATACCTCAATACACTCCGGGGTGATATATTTGTATCTCCGCTAGAAAATAACGCTCATTAAGAAACGTTAAGTTGTTCCACATGTCCTTGTAAAGAGCGTCTTAGAAATTATTACGAAGAATAATTAACGTAAGGATAACTACGCCTAGACGTGGATAAATGTAAAACTCGATTAATTTGCATAAAGAATAGTGGCAACAACCATAGGAAAGGTAATGTAATCGCATATCCCTTATTTGACTGTAAATCTGTTAGACATTAGAATATAATAAAATCTGTAAAATTTTATCTGATTTTCTTTATAAATATTAATTATTATTAACCTTTTTTCAATTTCATATGTAATAAATTTGTTTGCACATCACCGCAAATATTCTTTGACGAATTATTATTTTTAAGTAACAAATTATAAATAAACTCTTGATCACAGTAAACATTGACGTTTGCGTTTCGTTTCAAAGCTTTTTGCTTTTAACAACTAAGTGTCGGAGCATTGTCAAGTGCATTGTCTTATTAAAACAGAAACGTGTGAACTGTAGTAACGCTACCAACTAATATTTATCAAATCATTGAGTGCCGATGATAACGGGCGTTGTAAGTTGTAATGACAAGTCATTACTGTCAAATTAATGGAGTGGAAAGTGAGGCTTCTTTCCTGTCAAGATCATTGAATACTTTCCACGTGCACGAGAAAATCTATTCTGTACACAACACACAGTGTACGGAAAAGCGGTGACACCATTTATGATTTATACACGACTCTTAACTTTATCACGTTTAATTCCAAGCAAGAATCAGCTTTTCATTGGTCAACCCACCTATTACCAAACATTGTATTAAATTAACGTTTTTTAAAACCACTTTGTAATAATTATGGGTTACTGATTTTTTTTTAGATAAATAGTAAGGCAAGCGAGCAGGCGGTCAACTTGATATTAAGTGATTACCACTACCCATTTAGATCGACAAAAATTGATGCGTTGCCAATCTTGGCCCCGGGTACCATCAGGCAATACAGCAAATTACAGGTACAGTAGTCCGTCGTGAAGTGGAAATATTATACTTTTGTGTTTGG